GTCAATGTATAAGTGTTATTGATCTGACGGTGAATAAAAATTTGTCTAATAGCTTATGAAACAAATATATACACTTATAAAATTTACAAGACGGAAAATATATATGAAAGATTGTAGTGGATTTTTTATTTGGACCAATAAACATTATCGACATAACCAATAGGCACACGATATATTAATTGTCTTGTTAAAACAGCATAAGTGTAAATATATGTTTTAAGTGCTATTACCTGTATTTATATATACCTTCTGTATCTTTGGTTGGTTAGGATTTTTATAAACACATTCTGTTTATGCATACGTTTTGCAGTTAACAATGAAATTCCAAAACATTTGTTTTAGAAAGATGTGCATTTTTTTCCAAAAAGGAAAAACATTTACGTATTTTGTTTAACTAAGTGATAAACTAGTGTTTAATACAACCTGTTTACCTGGTAAACATACCATAAATAGTTTTGTATCATTTTCACTTATACAATACAAACACTATTGTGTGTCTATAGAAAATTTCTGACAATTTCAATAAAAATAGCCAAGAACACACGTTCTATCGAAACAAGTTTAGTGCAATACAGGATTAGTTTTATAGTACTTTATAAAGTTTATTTCAATGCCATTATGTCTTAATACAGCAAGCTATATATTATGTCAAGGTAGTGTTGAAGATACATGGTACGCCTTAACTAACATTTGTCTCCTGGTCTAGACACTGATGCAGACATACACAACAAGCAGCATGCTGTACCGTTAATCATAGAGCCTTTAGATCAATCATGCTTAAATTGTCTAAACACAACACTATTTGAGATATCCTCGTCTATAGCCATTAAAAAATTTTCAATTTAATAGAGCCATGTATGAAGTGGGCTTTAATCATACATGAACGCTTTTCTTTATCCTCAACGAAAACGTTTTAACATCTGGGATATTGTATATGTCCATTAACCATCATGGTATATACTATAAAGGAAGTACTTCAAAGGTATAATCTTGTGCAAAAGGTTTAATTTAATCTGAGACAATTTACTTCTAACTCATACAATGTTTGTGCTTTTGCTCGGCAAAAATAATTAACCAAACGTTTACAGCAAGTTACTTAATCACACTCCTATTTTTTAGTTTAAGTATTCATATGCCTTTAAACTGTCAATTAAACGGATGGTTCCTTTTGATCTACTTATCATGTTGACGACCAAAATTAATTTGCCAACAAAATATTTTTTTAAATATTCTTCTTTATTCTGTAACATGTAAATTGTTTTCAAAAAATAGAGTCAGACCTAACCTAAATTATACATATTTTTAATATTTAAAAATACATCCCACATTTTTCAGTTTACAGCTCTTCAGATAATATATACAACATACGTTACAAACATCACTCTAAGATAAAAAAATAAGAAAAAAAACTACAACTGAGTCTTACAAAATGATAGAAGCAGTACGGAAGATAGGCACATGTTTATTAAAAACATCCAGCAAAGATTTTTCTAATATAATTTTCAGATATATCTTAATTATATTAATCTTGACTATGGTACGAAATGTTGGAGATATGAAACGTTGAATTAATCAAGATAAAATATTAAATGTTAATACCATCATGTGTTTAATGAAATATTTTGCTAACTAGTAAAAATTATAGCTTTTGGTAATCACATTAGTTTTATCGTAGGTATAATTGTCAAGGTTTATTTAATTTTGATACTCTTTCGAAGAATCAATGGCACTGGTTCTACAAAAGATAATTACAACACAAAGGGTTTATCTGGTTATATCACCTGTACACATCTACAAAGCATCATGCATGAATAGACAATTATAAATAACTTTAAACAGGTTTATATATTAGTTTATTATTTATGATGAACTAGTTATGAACATGGGTTTAATATACAAATATGTCATAAAATCATATTTTTATGTCTTGTAATTAGTGTTATGATAGTTACGTTAATATCTTCAAAAGATGTATGCATTATTGGTATATATTTTTTTGTAAATGTTCTATTATGCATGTTAGAGTCATACAATTTATATTTACTTATATCTGTTACGTATAGTGGACAAGCCTGATATTGTCCAAGGATATGTATATCTAATATAACTCATCCATAATTAATTTTGGTAGAAAAAAACCAACTCAAACATTTGGGAAAATGCGCAATCTGAAACATTCTAAACGATTGCTGTTTGTTCCGAATAAGTGAAGCAACAGCAACGTTGGTTCTGAATCTTCCGCCCTATCAATCACATTGCTAAACACATTTATCATTGGCGGGTTTCGAACCCACCACCTGCCGAATACTCTATAAGTGTAGACACGCTCTAAATGAGACTAGTCCCAATTTCCTAAGACAGATTCTTGCGAAGTGTAGCTAGAATATACTGTAGATGGTATAGTAGGACTAACTGCTATTGCATAGTTATACGCATCAAGAAAATGGGGCTAAGTAAATTAATGTATTTACAGTTGGCAAAAGATTAAAGTAGTATGATTACTGTCTCGAACAAGAAATTAAAGTAATTCAAATTGTTCAACATTAATACTTGTATATTGTTATAAAACCAATATATTTACAATGAGTTGAAAGGATTCATTTGCAACATGCAGTCATCCATCCACAATCAATTGACAATAATATAACAGATTTACAGTGAATAGACGGAATCTTGTTAAGTCAAACTTTTAGTCGCTTATTTAAATTGACCTAGTTCTTGGAACAGAACAAAGGCTGAAAATCATAATGACTGACGTCATTACCGTTGTACAAGTTGTCATCGGAAAACTAATTGATGCAGGATAAAATTAGAAAGTTGCAAAAAGTTCTTGGAAAAAAATCAAAAGGTTTTTAGTAAACTATTTTCAAACATTGATCAATTTATCAGTTAAAACTCTAATATAAATGCTCTTACTTGGAAATCTTTACTATAAAGTGATTTTTTGAATACCTTATTTTAGTTTGTCGTAAAAACATTTATAAAGAGGGAGATGTATAATGATAAGATTTACCTCATTTATGTGACTAAACTCCTTTATCCTATATGTGAAATAATGAATTATCTGTCCAATTAAACTGTACTGTGTTATTTTAAGATAGTTTCACTGTATAGTTTAAAAACAGTTAATCATGTTGTTTGAAATATAATTAGTTATATGTAGATTGTTTTTATCTACAACATACACCGATTGTTTGAAGGTAGGATATTTAAGTCTACACCAGTTTACAAGTAAATAATTTAAAAATTAACTACTACCTTTGACTACTTACTTAAAACATATGGACAGGCCATACATATTAATGTGTAATTAAAATCACTGCATCATAGAATTATTAACGACTTCAAAGCTTTATACTTACAGGTATATTCACCCAAGAATTTTAGACTAAGTGTTCATGCTTAGGTTGGTAGACAACGAAGTCATCGCTACTAATGTCAATGTACATGAGATTAACGTAAAGCAATAGCAACATTGATTACCTCGTTTAAATAAAACCCTGGGGAATAACCAATATAATTCATAGTATTGTTCGTCGTCAATCAATATCACCCTTTGTTTATTGCCAACAATGTTTTAATAATGGTAATTGCATTGACTTTTCAGCGAAGTAAATAATTGAAAAGTTTAAATTGAACTAGGAATGGCGGTTCTTTGGTTGAATGTAGTTTATAATAAAATAATATTATTTAAACATTTTAACCTTGAAGCACATTAAAAGCAGTATAACTCATTGTAGTTATACTAAAATAAAATCAATGTCTCATTGCAATATCAATGAGGAAGAATTTAATTTAAATATATTTTTAATTGAATATGAGATTGAAATTATTTTAATGTAAGTTGTGTTGTGTGAAAATATACAATACGAGTTTTTTTATTTGATAATTCAAGGAAGAAACGATTTATATTTGCCACTATGAATCTTTTGTTTAGCAAAAAGTACGAGTATATCTCGACAAGATTAAAATTAATCTTGTTTTTTTTTTAATACTATTTTTTAAAGACAATAATTGAGATACTTTCAAATCTATAGTTGAACTTAACCTTTTTAGAAAAAAAAAATAACTTGGTCTTATTATTTACAAGGAAGAAATATTCTAAATAAATCCATTATTCGTACTTATAAAGCTTGTTTTATATTTAGGCATATTGTTGTTGAAACCCTGTAATTGCATAGACATATTTGTAACTCTGTTGTTTAATCAGTAATGATGACAAGCTTTCAAAATAATAGTTATTGTCACTTATAAAAATCACCACCGTTAAAATACTTAATTGAAAACGAACGCACTTTACATTACGATGCAATATATCATAATGCCACAATATAATAAGCTCACTAATGCTAAAGAGGAACCAACAGTTTGGTTGCATACATTTCCTACGATGATTGTTTATTAATTTGAAAACTTACACGTTAAAAGTGCTTTATGAATGGATTGTTGGATACAAATATTCTTGCTTTAAATGAGATCCAGATAAAATAATTATATAAATAGACTATAGACTTAATTGAAACATGTCAAACATCTGGTACTCACCTATTTCCCAAACCTAGGCCAAGAACCTTAATAAGGTAGGGTAGAGCGAAAATAAGAATTCGGTGATTTATTCGTTGAATTTCGAGTATTTCTTTTACCAGCGCAAAACACGTTTTGACATATTTCGATTTTAAGCCTATTTCAACAATTTAAAACTATATAATCTTGACATGGCTAGTACAAAATGACTAAAACTTCATATAAATAAACATTGTGGATGTGGTAGTACAGTAGTTTTGTTTTTTAATTATATATTTTAAAACTATCCAATTTAACATTTGGTAATCTAATCCACACAGTTGACGGCATAGAAACATGGAGACATTATGTACTTATTTATACTGTAATAAATAATTGGTTGCCTTCTGCAAAGCTAAGTATCACACACGATAATTTAATAATCAACTTTTAGTATTAATTGGGAAATATATTTAAATTTTAAATTATGCTCCTACCTTGCACTGTCCAGCTATGCAGACCCAGCGGTCGGTGTCGTGGCCTATGATGTATCCTCTGCAAGGAGTACCATCCTCTACTGAGGCGTTCAGGGTGGCGTAGAATCGGAACCCCTTCGCCCGACAGTTGAGAGCACACTGGTTGGGAGCTGAAACAATTAAATAAAAATTATAAATAAATTAAATTTGTGACCAATAGTTTTTACGTTTCACCTTTAGCCTACTCTAATCTGCCTTAAAAGTACTTGGAAGCAAGCGGTTATCTTGGATTAATTTCAAACAGCTGTTAAAAAGCTATTTACTATCCCAAAATATATATTTTTTAAATACCGAAGTGATTGTTATAAAATTATAATGTGAGGCACTGTGAGATCAGGATATATCTTTGTAGTTTTGTAATTTGTTTTCAAAGGGAGTCCTTAGAGGCTATCTTGGATTTGCTCACAATAAGACAAAGGTTAATTTCACTCAGCCGCTAAAGAACGATTTACTATCTCAAAATATGTTTTTAAATACTTAAGTTTTTGTAATATAAATAGTTAGGGCACTGTGGGATTTGAAGTTAATTTTTCTTTGAAGTCTTATAATTGTTTTATAAGTTGGAACGTCTAGGCTCAAAGTACTCTTAAGAATTAGATCACACTGGGCCTAAAGGAGTGCGTAATGATCACATAGCTTACACTAATAATTGTAGGATTTGAACATTGGAACTCAGGGACCAAGGTCCCACACCACTACATCAGTTCACTCCTTGTATAGTAATATTCCTACAGTATTCAAGCTGCAGTCAGTTTTAAAACGGAAACGATGTTGTATTTTAACTAAACCCCGACAGAAATCATTAATTTACATCACCTAGCTAACTTGCTTTGATTAATCGATACCCACTGAAATGAAAACTCATTGGCTAACTTCAACGAATGACGTAATGACTGATACATTCTAAGCAATATCATTGTTCTACTCTACATTATTAGCATAACCAAATAAATTAAACAGATACACATAGTTTGCAATTTTCTTCAGTAGACGTTTAAACTTAAGGAAAATAAATCTTATACATCAATTAGTTTAGAAATTGACAACACAATCATATCTAGCTATTTGACAATACTTACATTTTACTTAAACATTTCTGTTAGGTTAAATAGGTATAATAATTCATACTTATGTGAGAGCCAAAGTACTCATACACGACCACAAGTCTCTGCATACCAAACAAAGGCTTTCAAGACGCTTACCACGCTAACGCCCTGCAAGCCGCTTACTTCATTAAGCCTGTAACCTGGAGATGGGAAGAGCTAGTCTCTTGAAAATGTTGTTAATTAGTGAGTTAAAGTAGACAATGTTTAGATGTTTGAAGGGACCCTTTGAGTAAAACATGACTATACCAAAGTATGTACCTGACCTATTCTCACAATATAGGAAACAAGTCTCTAGGCCGGAACAGTTTCACACATTATTAGGTCAGACAGGGATAGACCAGCGGTATTATCATATAGCTACAGAACATTGGTGAATGTCGTGATTTGATCTCGGAACTTTTAGAACGGAATCCTCTAGTTTTTCATTAGATGATTCCATTTCTTAGACTTTGTATGTTTAGCATTCGTACACGTTTAGCGTGCAGATGAAATTCCCAACCATGGAAATAGTCAAAAATTATGTGGAGTCAACTATTCAGTCTCATTCATTCTAAGTCTAACGAAGAAAAATATAAAACAATTGTTTAAAATCTGTCGGCGTTTGTATTGAAATTTTCAACATGAATACAACAGAGGAAAAAAATATTCCTCTTTAACAAAAGTAAATGGTATATTTCAAAGGAAAAAATCGTCAAATATTTTTTATAAATTTAATTATCTATTAGTATTTCTATACAATTCGTGCATTTCAAACGAATACTTGACGACGTAGGATAGTTTAGTCGATTCTAATTTGACATAAAATAATGTTAGTTTAAGATTCTAACGTATTACTAGGATTTCATTCTAATTACACTAGTACCCTAAACAATACATTTAAGTGGAACTATTTTACAACGTAAAAATATTAACCAACACATTCCTGATTCTGATGCTAAACATTTTCTGAATATTGATCATATAAACTTAAGTTTCAAATTACGATACATTTTGCACACAATGAAATAAGAAACGTGTGTTAATACCAAACATTATATCACCATATCAGTACAAAGCACCACATTTCATACCACAATCAAGCTTGGTTCAAACTAATAACCATGCTAAAGCGAACAGCACGACTATGTAAATAATAACTGAGTGTTCAGTTATGCTCTTGTTTGTGCCATATTGCGGAACAAGGCGGGCTGCGTAATTAAAAACAGCTCCGTTGAAATTGCATTTCATTCCCGCATTATTACAGTTTAATTGTATTAGATAATTGAATCGGCCAAAGAAAATAAATTTAGCTTCAGTATGGTGTCTGATCTTTTTTTGATCGCCAAATTATGGCATTTAAAATTCACTCGTGATAATTCTGTTTTAATATTTTTTTTCGTTTTTGAACAAACAATAAAATAATTCATTACTTAAATTTTATTTATATCTCTAACATAACCGGTTCCAGATCCAAAAATCCTGAAAACGCGATTTTTTCGATTTTTATGATGTGAAACTTACCTAATAATCGCTCCAAATAATCTTATCATCGAATGAAATCAGTTTCAAACGGTTAAATTTAATGAGGCTTGCACAATGGATGCTTGGTAAACTTGACGGAAAATAAAACGCTAAAAATAGTATTAACTAGGTATTTATTGAGAAATTCTTATTTTATTTATCGTATAATGTAAGTTGATACTCAATAACTTTGTTTACTGCGCAATCACTAAGCCCATATGTTCCAGGTATTTCATAACCAATTTTAAATACAAAAATAAGTCTTGGAAACTAAATCTGATTTAAGATTTTTTATACGAGTTCACAGAAGTAATTCCGAATACAAAAACATTCTTGGAAATGTTGTATAGATAAATTTTGTGTGACACCGAGTTTTATCCATTTACAAAGTGGTGTTGTTCACGTTAAAATTATTTACTTATTAGTAGTACTGAAGATGGATGACAAAATACCTACAAAACACCTAAAATTCATCATGTAGAACAAAATATGGGTAACATTTCCATATTGAGCTTTTAATACATTTTTCTATGGTGTAAAACAAAATATCTCACGGATTTTTGCAAAAAAAAAGAAAAATACCTTTAATAGGGATGGATTCATCCTTATCTCATTTAACTATCTACTTTACATTACTGGATAGATGAACAGTAAACATATACCACACGATTGCATACATAAAAGACTTCTGTTTTGCGAAATATAACTTTCACTAATCTTTAGACAAATGCCCTCTTTTACAAAATGTAATCAATTCAAATACCATTATATTCAATAAAGCACATCGATTTGAAAAAGTATTTAACTATAGTGTTGAGTAGAATCCAGTACAGGACTTCTGGGAAATCAGTCTGTCGCCGAAAGATAACAACAGTCTAACTGTTGTTCGAAATACATCGAAATACTTCGATGTAAACAATAGTCTACTTATCCTAACAGTAGCATATTAGTGTGTAGTAGTAGGAAAGACTTATGTCCTAAAAATATTCCTAACGTCCTCATATTGCCAATACAATTAGTATACTAGGAGAAGGTTTTATATATTATTATTTTTTATATTGTGTTTGAATAGCTATATGAGTAAGACAACTGTTTATTTTAACGAAAACAACAAACAAAAATAAATAATGTTTGCCATCAATATCGACCTATCAGTTTGAAATAGAAATACTCTGTATCTGTTATATATGCTGAGTTGGTTAAACTTATTGGTTTTAAATTGCCAGCTGTTATCAAATGTTAATATTTGTATTAGATTGCTTACTAATAATTATAACACGTGTTTATTAATTCTAATGAGAGAATGTAAACAAAAGTTAGTAGATTTGTTTGTTGTCTTTTGACCAAAGATGTTAAAATGGTTAAAATAAAATATTGTTATTACCTACTTTCACTGAGTACTAATCTTTGTTGTCAGTTTATTTGTAACAGTATCTGTAATGTAGACAGTGATGAATTAAAACACAAAAGTTTTAGTTAAAAAAAAACGCTCAGTTTTGCAAACACGTCATAACCTTTTTCCATCGTTCTTAAAACAATAAATTTACAAAAGATTATATAGTCCAGGCAAATTAGATCAAATATAGGGTGTGCTCCCCAAAAAATCGTCTAAAGCTGGAAAGTGTTTTAATGCCTTTTGGGGGTCCCAAATAAGAATCCTTTGAGTTTGCGACGGATTCTGACGTCTGCTTAAGTTTTGGGAGTCGAAAAACTATGAAAATTTTGCACTCTTTTCAGTTTTTCGCTTATAACTCCTAAATAACGAATCCTAAGGAAAATGATGTTCAAGGATGTCTTTTAGTGCATTAAATTCCGCTTCGATTGATGCTAAATACGTCAAAATCGGCCGAGCCGTTTAGCCGCTGTAGCTTTTCAAAGTTGGGATATTTTCATCAACATGGCCAAAAGGTTGATTATTTGACCAATTTTCGGCTTACAACTCCTAAACGACGCATGCTATACAAAAATGCACCTGTAGTTAGTTTGGAAAACACAATATTCGGCGTAGAATTATGATTATGAATTACTAGATAGTGGTTTATTCCATGGTTATCATCCAGAGGTTTATCCAAGAATGTGTGAAGGGAAGGGTAGCAAGACCCCCTATGTAATTTTAAATCTAATATTGTTATCTGGGGTTAAAACAATTCTAGGATTCGTCCTAAGCTCCCATTTTTATACGATCCCATCTCTGGACACTCCAAAATGGTGTTAAGCGATTGGAATATACAGGGTGGCTGAAAAGTAATTGCACCCCCCTTAACTTTTCAACCATTTGAGATATTTGAAATCTGTTTGTAGCAACCTTCTTAGCTATAAGGGGCCACAATAATTAAGGTCAATTTTGAAAATTTTGCCCTTAGGGGTAGTGGGGGTAGGGGGTAGCTCAAAATTTTTAAATAGCAAGTATGGTCGAGTTTTGTATAATTTTACAGGTCTTGACGAAACATAACAATTAATATAAAGAAAATAGAAATCGAACCAATAATAACAAAATGGCAGCTAAAAATTATTAAGACAAAGTTTATTAAAAGTAATTTTTAACTTCTAGTTCTTTTGAAACAGCTTGTGTATAAAGGGCTACAATAATTATGGTCAGTTTCGAAAATTTTGCCCTTAGGGGTAGTGGGGGTAGGGGGTAGCTCAACATTTTTAAATAGCAAGTATGGTCGAGTTTTGTATAATTTTACAGGTCTTGACGAAACATAACAATTAATATAAAGAAAATAGAAATCGAACCAATAATAACAAAATGGCAGCTAAAAATTATTAAGACAAAGTTTATTAAAAGTAATTTTGAACTTGAAGTATTTGAAGTAATTTTTAAAAATTACTTTTAATAAACTTTGTCTTAATAATTTTTAGCTGCCATTTTGTTATTATTGGTTCGATTTCTATTTTCTTTATATTAATTGTTATGTTTCGTCAAGACCTGTAAAATTATACAAAACTCGACCATACTTGCTATTTAAAAATTTTGAGCTACCCCCTACCCCCACTACCCCTAAGGGCAAAATTTTCGAAACTGACCATAATTATTGTAGCCCTTTATATCCAAACAAGTTGCCGCAAACCAATTTCAAATATCTCAAATAGTTAAAAAGTTAAACGGGGTGTAAGTTAATATTCAGCCACCCTCATGGTTATTTGGATTTGAAACGTTTTAGGGCGCAATTTTGTTATTAGTGGGCCGATTTTGGTTTTATTTATGTCAATTTGTACGTTTTGTCAAGACCTGTAAAATGATACCAAATTCGACTATACTTGTCATTTGAAAAATTTGAGCTACCCCCTACCCCCACTACCCCTAAGGGCAAAATTTTCAAAATTGACCATAATTATTGTGGCTCCTTATAGCTAAGAAGGTTGCCACAAACAGATTTCAAATATCTCAAATGGTTGAAAAGTTAAGGGGGGTGCAATTACTTTTCAGCCACCCTGTATATTCCAATCGCTTAACACCATTTTGGAGTGTCCAGAGATGGGATCGTATAAAAATGGGAGCTTAGGACGAATCCTAGAATTGTTTTAACCCCAGATAACAATATTAGATTTAAAATTACATAGGGGGTCTTGCTTCCCTTCCCTTCACACATTCTTGGATAAACCTCTGGATGATAACCATGGAATAAACCACTATCTAGTAATTCATAATCATAATTCTACGCCGAATATTGTGTTTTCCAAACTAACTACAGGTGCATTTTTGTATAGCATGCGTCGTTTAGGAGTTGTAAGCCGAAAATTGGTCAAATAATCAACCTTTTGGCCATGTTGATGAAAATATCCCAACTTTGAAAAGCTACAGCGGCTAAACGGCTCGGCCGATTTTGACGTATTTAGCATCAATCGAAGCGGAATTTAATGCACTAAAAGACATCTTTGAACATCATTTTCCTTAGGATTCGTTATTTAGGAGTTATAAGCGAAAAACTGAAAAGAGTGCAAAATTTTCATAGTTTTCATTTTCATAGACTCCCAAAACTTAAGCAGACGTCAGAATCCGTCGCAAACTCAAAGGAGTCTTATTTGGGACCCTCAAAAGGCATTAAAACACTTTCCAGCTTTAGACGATTTTTCGGGGAGCATATGTCTAATTTGACTGGGCTATATAGATTTGTTAAAAATTAACCAAAACATTGCATGAATGAGTCTAGGTGATATTGAATATGAAATTTCTTTGCAAAGGTTCTTACCTTCCATGAACGGCTCCCAAGTGTAAGCTCTTCCTAAGAACTCCTGACCGTCGTAGCGCGAACATTGTTCTTGTCTGAAGTCCGTCGTGCCCGGGCATTCCTGGAAAATAAAATATTTTTTAAAGAACAAATTTTAATAATTCAAAGCAATGAATTCCTTTTTTGTCCTTTGTGTTTTGCGGCCTCTTTTAACCTTAAATTTGTCCTTGCGTGGAACGTATCCAACAAAGCAAGGGATGATCCAGTACAGTACGAAGGTGAACTGTACTGATAAAATGTTTGCGGCAGTGACCAGGATCCGAACCCACGACATCGCTGCCTTGGGCACGAAGTCCGTGACGCTACCGAATGAACCGACGAAACACCCCGATGATATATCCTACTTCATCGTAAAGTAGGAGAATTTTGATGAGATCAAAAACTTTAAAGTAAGAAGTTATATGCATCTAGTATTTATAAATATGTTCCATTAATTAATAAACTGTTTTTCATGGATTCAGGTCTTTAGTGAATTTTATGACAAGTAAAAAAACGGTAAAAAGACAAGTAAAAACATCTAAAAGAAATTTGAGAAAAAATAACATAAAATTAAGAGAAATTGAAAGTAATATACCTATAGACAAATCAGTTACTACAATAAAAATAACATATACATCAAAGCCACCATTTTGACCATTTACTTTTAAATTCCATCGACATCAGTATTGCATACATATATAACAATATAAAGATAAAATTACAATATTACCCATGTTATTCAATACATGGTTTGTAAAGATTATTTAATCTGGTTTTATATTACACAAACGTTTCTAACATCTATCAGTTGATAAGAATATCGTATGAAAATATATGGTAATTCTGGGTAGCCTATATTAGTTTTCGGTTTGCGGCTTTCCCGGCAATAAAACACAAATAAAGTCTTTATCGATAAGAAAATGTTTGAACACAAAAAATGTGTGATGGCTTTTAATTTAATTTAATTCTTTTTAGTTTTTTTAGGGCGATTTGACCATTTACTTTTAAATTCCATCGACATCAGTATTGCATACATATATAACAATATAAAGATAAAATTACAATATTACCCATGTTATTCAATACATGGTTTGTAAAGATTATTTAATCTGGTTTTATATTACACAAACGTTTCTAACATCTATCAGTTGATAAGAATATCGTATGAAAATATATGGTAATTCTGGGTAGCCTATATTAGTTTTCGGTTTGCGGCTTTCCCGGCAATAAAACACAAATAAAGTCTTTATCGATAAGAAAATGTTTGAACACAAAAAATGTGTGATGGCTTTTAATTTAATTTAATTCTTTTTAGTTTTTTTAGGGCGATTCTAGTTACTTAATTAATTAAACAGGACTCTTTCTAGTAAAATATGTATTTCCTATAAAATAAGGAGACATTTCTTTAGAAAGGCAGCAGCGTTAATTGTTTAGTTAAAATTAACAGACCTCCCTTGTTACTCGTCTTCAGTTTGGAGATGCTATTTATCTTTTATAGCTCTTGCAGTTGGAGCGACGGGTAGCAATGATGACATAGCAGAGGTAAAGGTTTTTCATGGTATATAGATTATCACCATCAGTGCCCTTAAAACTAACAGAATACCTCCTTCATTAGCATCGTACGTGTTATTAAATTACCTGAAAGTACAAAAAAACACGCCAAATAACACTTGTAATAATATATTTACACTTATACCGTTTTCTCACTAGACGATAATAATACATAAAAGATGGTAAGTGGTGATCGATTTCAATTGGACACTCAAATCATCAGACCCTATCGGCGAATAAATAATTTGTCATTAGAATATTGGGTCTAATGATAATGTGAGTGTCCAATCGAAATCAATCTCCACTTGCCATATGTTTATATGTATAAGTGTAAATATATTATTAAAAGTGTTATTTGACGAGTTTGTTGTACTTTCAGGCAAAACTAACAGATAAAACCTAGCAACAATAATACTAAACTATTAATGAATGAAGTTTCAAAACAAGTGTAAATAGAATGGGTGTCAAAAACTGTAAAATCTATAAAAAAATATTAAATTGTTTTATGGCTTATATGGTTATCTTTCGATACAAGTTATACAAAGGTGTAAAATTGCTTATGATTCATAGCTTATTTAGACCGATGCACACCTAACTAAAAGTTTGTTTTAGAGTAGTAGTTCTTTAATAAGCAACTGAGGTTATTTATACAATAGTATATTTCAATCACTAGAGCGTAAAGTGACTACAAACTAAAGTAGAAACTGAAAATACTTCTCTTGTTAAGATAACCTCTGAAAACGACTTCCAGCTTGTGTCTAATTCTGCTAATGTAAATAACCACCTGTAAAAAAAATGATTCAATTATTTCGTCTTTCGCCTATTACGATTGTGTCAGGCCTACTACTGTACATATACCATTGAAATGTCGAACAATTTACAAGAACAACACTAAGCAAAAATGTTTACTAATAAATCAATCGATTAATAATTTGGATCTATGCGATTGGTACAATCAAAATGAATAACAGTTTATGCCAGCTTATTTTTACTCCCTATGACAATTAAAGGCTGTTTTACTCCATTTGGAGTAAAGCTTATACATTAGACCCGCGATGATTGTATAAAAACGTTTGTAAAAATTAAAAAAAAAATAACTTTAAAACAACCAAAACAAACAGAATAGTTTTTGAACATATTTATCTTCATTAATATGAGGCTACTTCATATTTTTCCAACTATTGAAATTATGCATACTAATAATCAATATTAACATTACATTGAAAAATAATTGGTTATTTGTGAAAAAATTCGTATTTCTATTAACAGTTTGAATTGTCTTTAACTTAAGCCTTGGTATAAGAAGCTTGCTTGATAAACATGAGGATTTAGCAGTGAAAAGGTTTGAAATATGATACACTTTGGACTGTTACCCGGTTGAGGTAGTGAGCTGCGTTTCTTTTATTCAAAAGGCATCAGAACCATCTTTCACACGTTTTTATAAGGCAAGCCTTTCTGACTTTTGAAATTCACGTAATGAAATTATTTAAATTACTTCAAATGCCAAATATTTTATATGGAGATTAAATGACAAAGTTATATATTACTTGTCAAATGTTTGGATATGAATTCTTGTTGGTTTTACCAATGACAATAATAATAGTAGGAAAAATACTTGTGAACGTTTGGTTATAAGTTTATCGGGAACTGTCAACTATAACATTGTATAATTGGGTAATTTGTAGTTATTTATTACGAAAGAAGTATGTTATTCTTCTACTCTTTAACGGTCATATTTAATAAATACTTATAAGTATTAAAATAATATTATACTTGTTCTAGTGATCCTAAGAGACATTGCTATGGTATACTATGTAAAACCTTAGTAACTATCGTCCGTTGCGTAACAGTACAGTTGCAATCCAATCATATTGAAATATGATACATCATCTAAATATATTCTTTCGATGATCATATTCACTTGTTATTTTTACATTTAACTTATGTTTAAAATGTTTTATAACATGTAAAATCTATGTGTTTGAATCTATTATTTAAAAACATGACTAATAAATTTTTAGTCAAATTTAATGGTACACTACATGATTATAGAATGATAAAAGATTTTCGTTACAATACTGTAAAACGACATGTTTCCTAGCAATTTATCACCTATGAAAATGTATCATTACATTTTATATTACGGCAAAAGAACGTTTAATACGCGAAAGTAATGTTTACTATCTTTTTTGGATTTTACCGACGTAAACAAACAAATATTTGTTATTGTTTTATCAACTGTTTCAATTTTCAACAAGTAAACTAAAAATATATTTAAAATCGGATTCATAACCTAAAATATTCTATGCGTTTTGTAATGAAGAAAATAATTATTCTTTGTAGCGAAAAGTAACGTTCAAAACACGAGTCAAAATGGGTCAATACATATTCTTGACCACTTCAAACTTGGTCTCAAATATTTAATTACTCATTTTCTACTTTTTTTATGAGATATACTATAGTAATGTGGCGTGTTTAAATAAAAAAAGCGTACCTACAGATATAAACCTATTTGCGAGCAATATTGTTTTTTTATACTTAATCAAATTGAACTTACAAGAATATTATACTATATTGTATCGCTATTATAATTAGTACATGCTGTTAGTGAACATACGCTTGACAAATTTAATGTTCTTATCCCCCCTCTATAAGTACAAAATGTATTAGATGAAACGAAATTGTGGAAGCAGTAAAAGGTGTTGTTTTATTCAAAAGTGCAACCTTAAGCGTCCTCGCTTTTCTTTACGAGAGGATCAGACAAAGACATTTTCAAGCTTCAAAACCATCTTTTTGTACTTGCTATAAATGAATAAGATAAAATATAATGGGAGGACTTTTCCGCTGAATTTAAGATGATGAAGTAGACATTCCATCAAAAATGACGAGTTGTTGCCTGTTTTTCATCCAGATAGAAAAAGTTAAATGATCAACCAATTGAGTGCTCTGGTCTAGAATGTATACGTATTTGTTATTGAGACAGTTGTGACATAAAGAAAACATTGCCTAAAATAAGTTGTCCAGTTGGTATAAATTGGATAAAAAATAATTTATTACAGTAAACTATGTCAGTTCCATTGGTTTTAATATACAATAAAATAATAGACGAAACCTTTACAAACTATATTAAAAGTTGTCAAAAGAGCAAAATATAACATTATTTTCAATGAATGAAAAAAATACTAAATTTATTATAACTCAATGAACATAATAATAATAATAATGAGGTTAAAAAAATCTATAATTATATTACTTAATTACTTTTACTCCTATGAACAAGTATTGAAATAAACATGTGTAAAAATAAATGTTTAACAAACATCTTGGGGGGTAAAATGTCCCTAACTTTACTTCCAAACCAACTGAAAAATAGAAACGTAAAAACTAAATATTCCCGCCTTTAGCTTAAGAAGACCTTAAACTTGTATTTTCCGACTACATTGATTCATTTACGATTTATATTCCTAATTTAATTTTCGGCTAAAACCTTCCAAGTAATGGTATAAAGAATACAGTTGTAATATGACGAAA